ATATGAGGAATTCTTAATCTCAGGAAACAAACTGAGGGTTGCTGGAGTGGTGGGGGGTGGGAGGGATGGGGTGTCTGGGTGATAGACATTGGGGAGGGTATGTGCTATGGTGAGCGCTGTGCATTGTGCAAGACTGTTGAATCATTGACTTGTACCTCTGAAACAAATAATACATTATATGTTAAAATAAAGAAGAAGATAGTAGGAAGGGAAAAATGAAGGGGGGGGAATCGGAGGGGGAGACGAACCATGAGAGATTATGGACTCTGAGAAACAAACTGAGGGTTCTAGAGGGGTGCGGGGTGGGGGGAGGGGTTAGCCTGGTGATGGGTATTAAAGAGGGCACGTTCTGCATGAGGCAGTGGGTGTTATGCACAAACAATGAATCATGGAACACTACATCTAAAACTAATGATGTAATGTATGGGGATTAACATAACAATAAAAAATTAAAAAAAAAACTAATGATGTAATGTAGGGTGATTAACACAACATAAAAAAATAAAAATTAAAAATAAAAGGATCTTTAAAAAAAAAAAAAGAGGATGATAGTACCTACGTCACCGGGCGTTGTAGGGGAAAGGCTGAGATAATTTACCTAAACACAGCGACGCACGCAAACCCCTCAAAACGTCCACGATCAATATTACTGTCCCTATGGGGGTGCGGGCAGGGGCTCCACTCCCCTGCTCTGCACCTGACAAACAGGGTGAAGCTCTCTGAGGCAAGGAGCTTTTACTGACTGTGCAGACCATTCAAACACTCTGGAGTAATTTGAAGGATTTTTCCCCATTTCCATATTCTGTGACATTCTAGCTTCCCTCTCTAAAGCATATTCCGGTCTCAGTTTAAAAGGCCTCGAAACTGAGCTACCACCAAACATTTTCGCAGGGCTCCGAACGACCGCTTGGGGAAATTTCTCCGCTGAGCACAGCGCCGTCACCTTTCGCGCCAGAGGCCCGCCTTTTATAGCGACGTGATTACGTCACCTCGTCCCCGCGTGCGCAAAGATGGTGGCGTGACCACGCCCAGGCCTGTGCTGGGACCCAGCGTAGCAGGCGCCTTTACGGATAAGGTCCGAGTGCGACTGGGTGAGTGAAGTCCCACCGCCTTACGGACGACCGGTGGGTGCCCTGACTGTCCGAGAGCAGCGTGGGTGCTCGCAGGGCCGGTGAGGAGGATGTTGTTAAAGGGGGAAGAGCTGGGGTGATGAGGAAAGGTCGTGAGTCCTCTGGATATAAGCAGGGAGTTGGAGTGGTTGCAGGGTTGAGGACTCTGAGGCCGTGCGGATCTTTGGTTCGAAAGGCAGAATTTATCTTGGGGTTTGTCTGGAGTGCTGATGGCGGGCGTTACGGAAAAATAAGTTACCGTGGACTAACTTTCCGAGATTTCCTTGACGCTGCATTCGAAAGGGGGAGGAAGGCGGTGACGATTGGTCCGTAGTGATCTTAGAGGATAAGCATCTGTAACTAGATCCTTGCCGGCAAGCTGGCGAGCGATTGCTGTCCGCGGTGCTGAACGCAAGACATTGGTTCCTTTAGAAGGAAACCCGTTGAGGGCAGGGCAGTGTTTCCTTGCCCTTGGCTGGGCTCAGTGTCCTACACCTCCATGTATGTGCAGTGAAGGAAGAGCTCAGTCTATCAGCGCTGGACGCTCAGAGATTAGCGACAGTGTTTAAATCATAAAATTTAGGAAAGCCAGTGCTTCGCTCCAGGAAAAGAATTTCATTCCTGTTTTTTCTCCCTTAGGACAGTCACCTTCAGCTTTTGCACGCAACCAGATGATTTGCCTTCAGGCTCTGAGCCTTCAAAGCACTTCACTTGATCTTTATCTGTATTGGTCCAAGCTCTTCAGTCAAGGTGAGCTTGCTCATGTGCCCTTAAAATGGGCTTTCCTAAACTCCCCAAATGGAAGTCCTGAGCACCCAGGGTAAAGTGAAGAGACCAGTTGGGCTTTTCCCCGCCAGTTATACATGAAAAATACTTTATTTGGAAAAGAGATGATAGAACTGGGCAGTCTTCCAATAAAGGAAAGACCATGAGTTTCCAGTTGGTTCTTACACTTGTTTGCCTTTCTATGTGTGTGTGCACATGCATAAGGGATGGTATTCCTGTGTTGAATTTTACAGAGTGGATTTTTTTCTTTCTGTTGATTCAATAAAATGTTTACTAGTCTTAGTACCAGCTACTTGTTTGTTTTCAATTCAGATTAAGGTTAAAGTGTGAGGAAGTTAAGAGGACGAAATGTGAAGTATGTTGAGTTTACCTGATTCATGGTGTTTTTGGCTGCATCTGGCATACGAAAAACTGCATCATAAATAAAAATGGTTTTAAATGCATTCTTTCATTTTATACATTATATCTCAATTTTTATTTTTCTCTTCTGAGAGAACCAATGGGTTGAGGTAATAAAACAATCAACTGCTGTAAAGCTGAGGACATTAAAGTAACTTTAAATGTTTTTATTATTTAGCAGAAAGCTTATAAGGCAGCTTTGACTAAGGATGACATCCTTGTTTGCTCAAGAAATTCGCCTGTCTAAAAGACATGAAGAAATGTAAGTTTGTTTTTTTTTAAGGCTTATCTAAATGAATAAATTGTACTGGCTTTGTTAGTGAAATATTGTGTGCACAGAAGACTTAAGTCTGAAAGTGCATCATTTAAATTTTCTGACACTTGAGAGATTTTGGTGTTAGGGAATGTCACTGTCTTTTAAGAATAACAAAGATTAAAAGGTATGTTCTCTTCTTACAATTCTTACTATTATCTAGATAAATTCACCCTTCTCACCTTTCTAGGTTTCTCACTGATATTTAATGGACTTCTGTACACCTCTTACCCAGGGCAGGCTTCATGAGTATGTGACCTGTGTACTCACAGTCCCTGTACTTGGTTTAATGCTCTAATGTTGCTGTCTTGAAATTTCTAATAGTTTTTTTTTTTTAAAGGAGCCCCACATTTTCACTTTGCATTAGGCCTTGCAAACTACATAACCAGTCCTGCACTTATACTTGATATTAACCTTCTCTACCTCTTTCTGTGGGCTCTCATGTTTTCCTTTAATTAATTACCAGGCCCTCTTCCTTGGCTTTCTAAGATCTTTCCCTTATAAAAATGTTGAAATTACTCAATTTTAATTCTACCCTCAAGAACAGCCCTCTGACACACAGCATTTCTTAAGAATCTCCACAACTATCTGGAAAGTGGTTAGACTGTTATATATATCACATGTATTTTTTTATCATCTGACATTTTTTTAATCAATCATTTAAGGGGACCAAAAAAACTTGTAAAATGAGCATTTGACCAATGAGAAATTTTTAAAGTATATTATATATAAAAAAAAGTAGTTTGATAATTTACTTACAACTTTTTACATCTTTCTTCAATTACTGTTTCACCTTGTTGTGAGTATGCATACATACACACAGCCTCTCACTCATATATGGAGCCATCATCTTTCTCTTGGAAAAAGAGGAAAAAAATATTTTTATTGCTTCTTCAAACATATGGAAGTTTAGCGCAATTCTAAATGTGTAACATGAGATTCAGGGGTATTGAAGTGTTAAGCAGAAGGTTTCGTATAGCAAGTTATATCAATGTATGTGTGTGGGGAGGTATATATAAGTATGTGTACAAAGGGATATGTATTACAGTTTGCATTTTCACCAAAAATTAAAACATGTTTTTAACACTCTAAAATAATTGCAAAGACCATAGAGGCTAAAAAAACAGAAGCATGTACTTACGATAGATATGTTAATGAAAATAAGAATAATTTTACCCAGATTTAAGACTTACTGAACTATCTAAGTTTTCCACTGTCTTATTAATGGACATAATAATTGGTTTTCAAAATAGGTTGAACTTGAAGTGAGGTACAATTAAGAAATAAATTTTTTTATGTTAGTCAAGCAAAAAATGTACCCTTTTAAGAAAAACTTTATATAATCTTCATTTTTTTCTAGAGTATCACAAAGATTAATGTTACTTCAACAAATGGAGAATAAATTTATAGACGAAAACAAGGAAAAGGCATCTCAGATGCAAGCAGCTGAGACTGCTTTTAAAAGGAACCTTGGTCTTTTAATGGTAAGTTTTCATGACTTAAGTATAGAGATTTTTTTCCCACTTTTGCAAAAAAAGGTTTTAAGTGAATTTCATAATTTTGATATATATACTTTGTTTTGAGTAATAAATACAATTAATGAAGTACCATCTAGTTTTCAAACCCATGTTAGTTGGATATGTTGCATATGGATTCTTTTTTAAATGAAAAAATAAAAGGAAATTTGTTTAACCTAAGTGTTTTTAATCAACCAGAAGAACCAATGACCATAGAAGAAATTTAAAGGTCACCTTTGTGCAAGTAATAAATACAAGATGTAACTTTCCATCTTCCATCATCTTTTATTTATAGGGAGATCCTAAAACCCTATGAAGTACCTATAATGTTTTTAGATCCAACTCAAAACTATTTAACATCATAAAAACAAGAACAATTTGATTCTGCCCTACTGGGGCCACAGTCAGCACGTAGAATTCATATCTAAGATAACAGATTTCCCAGATCTCTCTTGATACTGATGGAGGAGGTGGTCAAAGTATGTGATTGCGCAGGGCCCCACCATTTGGCCAATGTGCCCATTTGGAGTAAAATCATATGTGTAACATTTTTGGCTGCTTGCTATACTTTGCTTCCAGAATTGTATGGCTTCATCCATAATTAAAACCCTAAAGTTTGCTTCCACTCAAGCTTCCAAGAGATCCTATGACTAAAACATTTGGGAGGAAGGCTATATTATTTAAGTTATAAAGCAGTGTTTTCAGTTTTTTATTGTTAAATATTTTCATCGATAGGCATGATATAGTTATCTTATGTAGTCACTAGAGGATAAAGGAAGAGGAAAATTCAGTTATCTTCTCAGCTTCTGGCAGTTTGATCCACAGTAATTTAAGTCACAGCCATAGTGCTACCAAAGCATTCTATGTTGCCATATGTCTTACTTGCCCAATGGTGTTTGCAATATTTATTTTTAAATGGAAATATATAGGATAATCTGGAATTTGCTGTGAAAAGTCAGAAAAACTAAATTAGAAGCCTTGAAGGCTTGATCGCTACTTACCTGCAATGAGTACAGGTACTATTTGGATTTTTCAATTATCTTCCTTTTAGTGAGCAAGTATTTGGTGAAAGCCCAGAGGGGCCTTACTACTGAGCTAGTTCTGAGCAGAAAGTGGAGTTAACAAAATAATTCAGAGTTCTTTACATCAAATAGCTGACAGGCTTAACTGATGACATAAGGTTGTCACACACAACATATGAGACCTGAGTTGATCGAACATTAAGTTATGTGGAATCCTTAGCACTTTAGAAGTACGTATTAAAAAAAAAAAATCACTGAAAGCTAGAATATCCTAACAAGTCTGAGGAGGGAAACTAAGCTGGAGCTGTATTTGAATAGGCAGAATGCAAAATATTCCACTGCATTCTTACAGAAGAACCAAGACCAGAAGAATGAGTAGCCCTGTTAGTGTCCATGGGACCCTGAGCTAACTGGCTTGTAAAGTTATGGGAAACAAGGTTGGATATGTTTTGTGAGACCAAGTGAAGAAGTTGAGACCTGATATATAGGCATAATACAGTACTAAAAGTGTTAGAGCAAAAGAAAAATAGAGACTTATATAAGAAGCATATGGGTATTTAAGAAAGATTCATTTCCTATTTAGATGCAATGTGATTTGCAGAATGGAGAGATTAGATTTAAGGAGAATAGCTAAGAAATCACTGCCATATCTGGAAGGAAGATAATGAACCTAGTTTCATAGTCATTAGAAACAAGTTTGGATGGTGTTTTTTCCCCGGATTATAAAAGTAATATATTCTCACTGTAGAAAACTGGAAAGAGCCAAGAAGATGAAATAGCATACTTTCCATATCATCCCACCCAGCTTGAAATTAATGTTTTTGTATATTTCCTTTTAGTCTTTTAGTAAGCATTTACTGAGCTCTTATATCCCAGGTACAGTGCTTGCTGTAAGACAGGCAGTCTCTTCCCTTTTTTTTTTTTTTAAACATACTTTGAACACTTGTATATGCAATTTTTTTAATCCTGCTTTCCCTCTTACTATTTTGTTTTAAACTTTGGAAATAATTTTAAGGGCTGTACCACAGAGGTTATCATGAAAGTGACCTAAATAGGACTTGATCACAGAATTTTCAGGTGGGAGAAACTTTAAAAAGCACATAGATTAGATTTTCACTTAAGGTTTTTTTTTTTTTTTTAGCATAAAAACTTTTTTTCAAAGATTTAAAATAGGTAAAAGTGGACCTGCTTTGGCCAAAGGCCCATCCATTCAGCCCCTCCTTGCCTGTTCTATTGTGATCTAAGGGATGGTGAAAACCACTGACTGTGCTGATCTCCTAATTTAGAGAAGAGGAAACCATAAAGTGACTACTCCTAATACCCCCTCCCTGTCAAGAACAGGTTCAGTTACATCAAGATATGTACTTAGGTACAGAATACACTTTAAAAATGGTTCCACTGAAACTTGGAAACATTCCTATAAAGATACTAACAAAATAAGTATAAGCTCTATTACCATCCTTTATTTGACCTATTTAGATGCTCTAATATAAGAAACACTAACATGGAGTGAGCTTTAATTTTTGGAAAGTAAGATATAACCCTAGTATTTTTAACTGATAAGGCCATATACTTAGCAAAGCCAAAGTTGTTTAAAACTAGTATATTATGAGTTGAGTAAAATTAACAGATAAAATGTAACCATTCAAAAATCTATAACAATCCTATATATACAAATGGAAAATATGAAATCACATTCACATTAGCAATGAACTTATAAAATATTTGGGAATGCTCTAAACAAGGAATATGCATGATTGGTATAAAGATAATTCTTAACTTCAATGGGAGATTTAAAATTTAAATGGAGACATGTGCCTTAATCCTGATGGGGAAACTATTATTTTTCTAAAATCAGTAGTCACAGTGTTATTTTTAAATTTAAAAATAGCCCCACCAAAATCTGCATCTAACGCAACAAAATTTCTCTAAATGTATTTGGAAAAATAAAAGAATGTTTAAAAATGGGAACAATAACAAAAAGACTAATCCCAAAGGTTCAAGCATAATAGTAAAAGAATGGACATGAATTTTAGTGAAGAAAACTCAAACTGAGGGTTTAGTCAGTAAATATCACAGATGATAATGGATTGTTAGTTTCTGCTAGTTTCCCTATTACATTAATAAAATAAAATGTGTCTGCCTTTTAAAAACAAACATGATTGGTACAGATTTGGAAGAGAAAGAGAATTTTGTTTCTATAAATACTTCCATGAGGTAAACTATCATCTGTTTGACCTCTTTCCCCATCCCACCCACCCCCCACCAGCAAAATTTAGTTTAACCCAAAAAGGCAATCTTGTGGCAGTGAGCATCACCTCATGAGGAAGCTGGACAAACATTCCAGGGTGAGAAAGAATGGGAGTGTGCCACAGCAGATTAGACATAACGGCATGTCCTGGAGGCCTTCTTGGAGAGGCTGACAGTAACAGCCTTCAACAAACTGCACCCCCCACACCACACCCCCCTGGCCGTGATTTACAGGACCCAGTCTCTCCTCTTTCCTCCTCACACTCCTCACTTTCTCCAATTCAGTGAAGAGCGAGTTTAATGAATGCGTAAGGGTTCCTTGAGCCAATGACCCTGTATCTCATGCTTTAGGATCTTCTTTTTTCATTCCCAGAAATTGCCCCTTCAGCAGATTAAAAGATTAAACCCAGTCCAGCTATGGCTGGCTTCACTGTATATATTTACAGGAAGATATGTATTGCTGGGTTGGGAGGAAGGGACATGTCTAGGGAGGGGGAAAGAAAGAAATCTCAGTACATGACTTTTTGTGCTCATAGTTTACCTTTCCTAATCACAAGTCAACTCATTTACAGAGGCTGCTGAATCCTGCCATAGAGTAACATTTATATCACCATTCATCCTGGAAACTTGTTTTTTAATTGTTACAAAATATTTCAAACCTATGTGGAAGGAAGAATAGAAGAATGTACTTCCATGTGCTTATCACCCAGATTCAATAATTTTCAAAACACAGCCCATCTTGTTTCATTTACACTCGTCACCTTCACCTGCAGCCCGTCAAATTATGTTGAAGCTAACCTTCAGACATCACATTGTTTAACCTGTAAATATCACGTCTTTTTCATCAGTGTTTATCACTCAAAGATAAGGGCTATTTTAAGTATAATCGCAATACCATGATCCATCTAAGAAATTAACAATAATTCCTCAAATTTTCAGTCAGGATTCAGATCTCCCTGATTAACCTGTTTTTACATTTGTTTGAATCCGGATCCAAATAAAGTCTAGTACGTAATTGATTGATGGGTCTCTCAAATCTCTAAAAGTTCCCTCTGCCTTTTTTTTTTTTTAACCCCCTTTTAATTTGTTGAAGGAATTGGCTCATTTCTCCTAGTTTCCCACACTCTGAATATTACTAATTACATTGCTGAGGCATCACTTAGTAAGTTCCTTTGTTCCCTGTAATTCCCATAAATTGATAGAAGTTGTGTTATGCAACAGAAACATAATGCAAGTAATTTTAAGTTTCTAGTAACAACTTTTTAAGTTTTTATTTAAGTAATCTCTACACCCAACGTGGGGCTCAAACTCATGACCCCAAGATCAAGCATCCCATGCTCCTCCCAACTGAGCCAGCCAGGCACCCCCCTAGTAACCACTTTTAATAAAGTTAAAAGACACAGATTAAATGAAATGTATTAAAATTAATTTCATATTTCAAATGTAACTGCTATTAAAAGTTAGTAAATATTTTATGTTTTTTTCCTCACTGAGCCTTCAAAATTCAGTGTGTACTTTACATTTACAGGGCTCCTCAATTCGGACTTATCACATTTCAAGTGCTCAGCAGCCACTGAGCCTAATGGATATTACATTAACAGTGCAGATCTAGAGCCCTGATCAGATTCAGGTTCAATGTTTTGGGAAAGAACACTTTGTAATGCCTGGTTGTCTTTCTGGAATGTTAGCAGTCACTGATGATTATGGCCTAGATATGTTCATTAAGGGTTGCAAAAAGTGATATTCAAATTCTTCTATTCCTTCTCATTCAATTGCTGATAATTTATAAGAAGATAAATGTCCCCTCATCAATTATTTGGTTACACTTCATATAGGAAAAAGCATGATCAGTGCTTGATTCTTTCTCTGTACTTAATTTTCAAAAATAGTTTGGTTCTCTAGTATCCTCCAGAAGTGACCAATTAGACGTTGATGCTCTTAAATACGTCTGTGATTTGAAAGGTCTCGACCCACGTCAATTTGTATTCCCAGTGATGCTCAAATTGTCCCATTTTTACCAAGTGGGAGCCTCCATGTTAGCTCCTGAATGCCTTTGACGTGATCTTAACATGCTTTGATAGCTTTCTTTCTTTCTGCTGTGATATCTTCCAGGCCATCATTTGCTGCTTAGACCTAGAATTGGCCATTGCTCCAAGGAGCCCTGGATCCTTTTGATGGGAATATATGTTTAGATCCCTTAATCTGGGTTCTAGGGATGTTTATTACAACTTGTTTTTAAAGATAAAATTCATCAAGAGCTCATATCAATAATTCCATTTTGATTACATGATTGTAAGACTTTTAACTTAAAATCATCGATATTTTACCTCTAACTTTTTCCCCCCTCAAACCAAAAATCTCAGTTCCTAAATAATTTTCCAGTACTAACATAACTACTCATTTACTTTATCCCATCATAAAGACAGCACTACCAGCAACAATATGATTATGGAGTATGGCTTTCAGTCAGATACTTTTTATAATTCTTTTTGTCCTTGGGGTAGATCTCACTACAGATGCTCAGTCAAAATACTGTTCTAAGACCACCTGATGTACTTTTTCTTGATGTGGTTATGCCACCAACTAGATGGCAGTTAGATTTGTTTCCTTTTGTTTTTAATTTTTAGGGATTGCTTTTTCCTTTGGTTCTGTAACTGTATAAATTTGTAAATGGTCTAGTGGCAGATCTATAAGACAAGATAACAAGGTCTGGTCAGGTAAGTCTAGCCTCTCTTCATCTGCTTTTTTTCCTTTTCTCCGCTCATCCCGTTGGGTAATTTTTTTTTTTTTAAGTTTTTCATTTATACTCAGGAAACTTTTGACACCTTAGTCATTTATGTATATAATGAATATTTAAGTGTTTAGTACATGCCCTGCACTTTGTTAGATTCTCGGATGCTTAAAGATTGTATGAGACAGTCCGTACCTTCTGGCAGCATATAGTCAAACAGAAGGTTCTTAATTGGAAGTAATGGGATATAACTCGCTACAGAAGGCAGAGATTTTTCAGTCAGGCTAAGGAATTCATACTTTATCCTCTGTGTAGTGGGTCTCTTTTTTTTTAATCTATGTAAAGACATATTTAAAGTAGTAATTTTAGAAAAGCTAATCAATTCCGTATGTGGTTAAAGTAAAATGAGATACAGTCCAAGTACATATTTGTTGAACCAGTGAGTGAGATAATAAGACCACAGCACTGAGAATGGCATGGACAGGCTAGAGGAGACATCCTGCAGGAATCATCTATGGACCTTTGGAATTTTTAAATGTCAGGGAAAAAGAATAATTGAAGGTAGAAGATATAGCATACGTGTCTGGAAGAGTAGAACTCCCACTATTGTACATTCAGAACACTCAGTAGGAATAAGGGGAGTTTAGTTTTATTAGGTTGAGAAATAAGGGCTGGGAAGAAAAGTTATCTATCCCTCTACATTAATAGTTGAAGCTAGATAAGAGACAGTCTTGGAAAGAGAAAAAGTAAAAAGAGGAGGACAGATGTCACAAATCTTAGAAAGCCCACACTTAGGATTAAGAAGAGAAAAAGGAGCCAGCCACAGAGAAAGAGAAGTAGGAGTCAGAGAGGTAAGCAAAACATCTAAGAAAGTAAAATCTCACTTACGAAAGAAGTTCTCTGGAGGGGTGATAATCCCTTGCCGACAGGCTATAGAGAGGACTGTCAAGTTACTAACCATAGGCCACAGATCCCTGCTCATACCTACTCTTTCACTGCAGATCTGCTCTTCTAGGAGAGATAGCCAATATCCTTATTTTCTGGTCTGTAAGAGAAGTGTTTATCATCTTGTCTGCAGGTGCTGGTGGCACCTAGATCTACCACCAACAATAAACTTACAACTGTTCTTATAATGATGTCAGTGGAGCTGTGAGTCTATTGTTTGCTTGATTTATGAGAGTCAAAAATAATTTTCCCAGGACCTTGTAAAATCTCAGTGCAATCACAGAAGAGTTAATCTTCGCTCTCTGTTGTAGCATCAGCATCAAAAGCTCTTTAGCGTGCGTCTTGGCCATAAACTTCTGGTCAGGAAGAGACGTTGCTAATAGACGGGCTTTTTAGCCCTAAATTGACGGTTTTCCCCTTCAAATCACCTTCTTCAAGACAGCAGGTGCATTAATGGTTGTGCAACTTTGGGGAGTCCCTTTAGGGAATTTCCTGTTTTTCCCTTTTACATTTCACACCCGTTCCTTGCTCCCGCCACTGCCATCTGCTCGCTCTTTTCTCCTGTTCAGCATTGGATTCTTCACACCCCACTCCCACGTCCTTTTCCATCTCTCTCCGTCTGTCCAACAGCCCTGTACTTAGATTGCTCCAATGCTTGTACATGGATCAGAGAACTTTCTCTTTTTGATCAACTCACTGAGCTCAAGGGAGAGACAAAATTTACACGGCCTCCAGCCAAGGCCTCTGTGAACTTGACAAACATAAACAAGCACTAGACAACATAGGTGCCAGTTTGAGGAGCATGAAACAGAGCTCCAGTGTTTCACTGACAACTTAGAGAGCCCTACATTTCTGGGCCTGTACTTCATCCACATATCAAGGTTACATCTTTACCCGGGTAAGCATGAAGTGTGATTACCCCTGCATGAGCTACAACCGTAAGAGAACATGCATACACCCACAAGTCACACTGCAGATTAAAGCACAGGGCTTAAACGTCATCAGCTGAATGATGCACGACCCAGCCATAAAGCTGGCCATCGAGAATGCCCCAGAAATTGAGTCCTAAAAATCTAGAGTCTAGTGAAAAGGTTCTTGTCCCAAAGTACTGAGGTACCTCACGGACTTTCTTTTGAATATGTGGAGGATTTATGTAAGTATAAAATTAAAAAATAGAATACTGAACAGATGAAATGTGTGACATTAATACACCATTTGCATGATCTGGACTAGAACTCTTCACTTGTAAGGTTAGTCAGTGTGGGGCTGACTATCTGACTGTTTTTAGTATCTGAATATTTGACCGTTTTATCCATCTGGCTGTTCTTATTGGTTTTAGAGCTAAGTTAGCGTCCTGAGCAGTTTTGGAAGAAAGTCCTTTTTGCCAGAATTATTGGCATTTACTATTTTAAATGAAAAAGAAGATCTTGAAAGTCCTACCCACCCCACCCCCACTTTTTATTTTAAAACAAGAAACGCTGCTTTCTCTACTGAAACTGATTAAGTAATGATCAGTCCTCCTATTTCAATGCCCTTCCTTCAGTTCAGACTGTATATCCAGAGAAGAGTTGAGATTCGGGATATAGACATTGCTATTACAGGTGCCATTTGTATGTGTTACGTAAGTACATTTTGTTTCTAAAACACTGATATCTATTATAGGATATAGAAGCCGCAGCAAAGTCTCTACAGACCCGGATTCACCCAATCCCGTCACCAGAGGTGGTTTCTCTTGAGGTGAGAATCTTAAAGAACAAATGTATAGGAAGAGACCCCATTCTGTTAGTAGTACATTATAAATTAATTGTGGTTATGTGTATTTCCCAGATTTATTTATTCGGTAAAATAAGATGTGTCTGATTGATCCTTACATGTCCACAGTGCTGTGCTTTTTACACAGTAGGTAATTGATAAGCATCTTGATTTTTAAAAATTTATCAAGCAAAAATTTTATAAAGATCCGATATCTTTTCATCTAGAAACACATATCCTGTTAAACCATAACAGACAGTAGACAGTATGCACTAAATCTTAAGATGACAGCATGCCTAACCAAAGTGCTTTTCCTGTTGGCTAATGTTAGCAGTTCAGTCCCTTCACCAAATTTCAACCAAAGCTATTTAAATGCATATTATCATGCAGCATAGTGTGGCTTTTGTCTGTTTTATTTTGCTCAGTTCAAGAACAGATTGGGAAGACTGTTGGCAAAAATAAACCCTATTTGGTATATGAATATATCTGTGATGAAAGAAAATTTACTACATATAGAATAGTTTAATTTTATATTCTTAATGACCTTTTTCAAATACAGTTTTGCTTGCTGCCTAAGCAGGGATGTTGAATAGACTCAAAATTAAAGGCTGAGAAGTTGCCCTTCCATTTTCTGTGTCATCTAAAGTAATAAGGAAAGGCAGTGATCAAGGATAGAAAGAACTGTGGTACAAAGTTGTGCCCTGGGCATGTCTTTTTCTTCATTGAATTCTCCAATACCTTACTCTGGCCTATAGGGGCCCACACAATAGGGGTTAATCCAGCCGTGAATGGTGGAGAAACTCCCAACCACAGGCCTTGGTTGGTATTTTTCTTAGCTAGTCTTGCACAGCAGGATGACCTCTATTTTAAGTGTGTCAGGCTGTTTCTTGGACCACATGCACAGATGGGCAGATATGTAGAACAACTCACAATTTCAACTTTCAGAACTCCTGTACCTTGTTAACGTGCAGAGTGAATCCTTACGTGCTCTAAATGCCATGTAATTCTTTGGCTGAATTCCCCAAAATGAGATTGATAGTGATGATCCAATCTAAAATGCCCTCCTAGGATACAGAGCTTTTGGCAGTTTACTTTTCTTTGGCCTCCTTAGGGCAGTCACCCAAAAAAACATCAAAGCTTGTAGATATTATATGGTGATCTTGCCTGAGCTTTTATAGCTTATAGACTTGCTATAGTTAGGCCAATAATACAGTGTCTCAACTTCCAAGTTACTGGAATTAAAAATGGTTACATGATACTAGTAGTATTTTCTCCATATACCAAAAAAAAAATGGGAAGAAATTACATTTTACCATATCGAGTACTCTTCTAAAAGATATACTGGATGCATATTTTAAGTGTTTTTCCCCATATAATTAAGGAGTCAATTTACCTGAGTCCTGTACTATAACATACTGGTTATGTTTCATTTCCTGATCTCATCCCAGGTGATATCTTTTTATGTCAGTTAAAAAGCAGTTGCTCATGCCTAATCATTTCATTGTAATAATTTTAGTATGGGTAATCATTTGGTATGGAATTTGGAAGAGTAAACAAAAACATTTAATGATTGTAGCCCTAAGTGATACCACTGGTAATAATCACACAGTTGGCCACAAGAGGGCGTGTAAAATCACAATAAAATCCCATAACCTGTAATTCTGCCAGGCTCTGGTTTTACTGAGAAATTTGAAAATTAACACTAGTAAGTAGCCAGATTTCTTTCTAAAATTAACATAAAATATTCTGTAGAGGAAGTGCATTCTACGTATATGTGTGTATGTACACGCACACACACACTTCAGTGAATAAACATTTAGACTATTATGAAGAGCCAAGTTCAATTGCTTGATATGCTTTTTTACTTTTGGATGTTGTTTTTTTTCCAGACTCTTTACTGGGCATCAGTAGAAGAATATATTCCCAAATGGGAACAGTTTCTTTTAGGAAGAGCACCATATCCTATTGGTGTTGAAAATGAAAATGAAGCAGAAAATACCGTTCAGAATGAGGCGCAGTGATAACTTCTTCACATACTCTTTTCAAAAAAATCTGTTTAGTACAGCTGAATATTAAAGAATATACGGGTCATTTCGGGTACCTTAGGAATCGAATATGTTCATATTGTCCCATTACCTCCTCAATGACATGAAGATAGGAGAACCGGCTGACAAGTCTCAGGTTCTATCACTTTGAGACCTACTATTACTTCAGGGTCACAAATTTGCTTTCTGCCAATCCCATGGAAGTGTTAAGAGCTAATATTGAAAAGTGAACTGTTTATTAAGTAAGTCACTAAGTAAGTGTTGTGTGTCATTTTTTTTAAAAAAATCATTTATTGTCATTCTCATCTAAACAGTGAATACTGGTTGTTCTGATTTTACATTTTCTAGAATTGTTTTGGTCTTTATGGGGATCGGGTTTAGCACAGGATCCCAGTGGCTGTTGGCCCTTTTAACAAATGGAAAAAATAGAGGTATTTATCTGCTTCAGTATAGTATTTATTAGACAATGGATTCATGGGATTTTGTCCCTCATAGATAATCAAACCTCTGAAGATTCTGGAGGAAAGAACTAAACTACAAAGCACTCGGGAAGTAGCCAGTTTCAGGGGGGCTCAGACTTAGTCCTGAAAAAGGTCACCTATTAGAGCTGGGAATGGTTATTGGATTTTGACTTGGTTATTTAAGGACTACCAGCCTGTGAATGCAAGTAACTCCTCTCATCTTTTCATCTTGAAACTTGCCCTTCCCTCTCCTATTTTCATTATTTCTGAAACAACTGTCAGAAAGCTTTGCAGTTCCTCAGTCCTCCACCGCTGGAGCACTCAAAAAGGTTTGTTTTTTTTTTAATTTTTTTGATTATAGAGGCAGCTCCTGCTAGTAAGGGGAGTCTATGTTCATTACAATTCAAGAGTTTAAAAATTTCAAACTGGTGTGTATTTTTACATGAAGACAGCAGGACAAGCTTTAAAAAAAAAAACAACTATATTGAAACGTCCATTGTGCTGATAAGTTCGTTTAAACCACCATCTTGGAAATATCCTGTTGAGTGGGTGTTGGTGTGGGTAACAATAACGTTGTTTTCATAATATGCGCTGGCAGATTAGCACACTTCTCTACAGTGTTAACAGTTGTAATTAAGGAATAAACAGCACAGAGTGTCAGTCCGATGACAATTTCATCTATAGTGTCACAATACAAAATGTCACAAAATATTAGAACTGTTATATAACTATAAAAAGTACCGGCTTAAAAGCTGAAAGGCTTAAAAAAAAAAACAAAAAAAAACAAGGAAGACAGAAAGGAAGAAAAAAGAAAACTGGCATAGAGACCAGAACAATTTATACCTTCTCAAGAATGTTCTGACATGAAAATAAATTGATAATTTTTTTTTCCTGTTACATCACAGTTTGGTTTCTAGCCATCCAGTTGATTTAGCAGGAGAATACAGGGCTTTTTAGCAGCTTTGAATTGGTAAACAGATTTAGATGTAGTAGAAAGGAACATGAGGAGGTTTTTTTTTTTTAACATCCAATCTTTCCCAGCATATGCACATAAGAAGGTGAATGAAGCGATGTGAAACTTATTTCTCTTTAGTCAAGTGAAAAAAAGGCTAAACATTTGTTGAGATGGTAAAATATTGTGTCAAGCAAGTAGGCACATTCCAAAATTAAACAGTGGTTGATACATTAACATCCTCAAATATTTGAGTGCACACTTCGAGTTCTGTAAATTAAATCACCAGTAGATTAGATTAAAATACAAAATGAATAGCAATTTAACCATCTCAGAAAAGGTTGTTTTTTTTCTCCCCTAACTTGACTAACTTGCTAAATAGTTTCTAAAAAGAACATACATTTAATATACTCTGGGTTACGACTTAGGACAGAAGCGATGTCACTTCTAGGCTTTAGCTGTACCATTTCCCCCATTACTAGTGAATACCTCAAAAACTCCCACAGATGACTTTATTCCTGGCCCCCACAGAGCTTCCCCCCCCTTCCCTCCTTGTAGACTGTAACAGATTGCACCACATGGTGTATGTTTTAAAAAAAATTTCCATAGGGACCTAGATACCCCATTAAAGGGCTTTATATTCCTCATGGCAAATTAGCTTTACATAGGAATTTCCAACTATTGTTTTCTGTAAGGAGGAAAGAAGTATCATATCTAATGTATATTTTGTATTGCTCTTAGTAGGAATCAGACAAGGAAAAAGAAAGGTCATCTACTCATACTACCCGCCCGTCCCCCACCCCACCCCGCCAATTCAGTGCCTTTACCATATGCTACATTGTACCTCTTATTCATGAAAACTATGAATTTGTTTTTTTGGGTTTTTATAATAACAAGATTTTCAAAGTAAAGGTCATTTCAAGATTTTCTTTGCACAGCCTTTCTTGGATTACTGCAAATGCATAAATACTCAAAGCTCATTTTATGCTGGAACACTTTTAGTATATGAAATTATTAAACTATAAAATACTGAGGTCAGAAGGAGCTGCAGTTTTTCTCCAAACTTCATAAAATAAATTTTACTAGGGAAAAGCCCAATACTCTAGAAACCAGACATCTGGTCTTTCCCGGGTGTTAGGAGCAGTGTGAATGAAAATGAGGTCAAATGGACAGTTTTTCCTCTGCATTACGTGCAAGGTGTTTTCACTTGTCAGCTCAAGACCTAGAGGGCTGTAATAATCTTTACCCTTCTTCACAATTTGGTCTTCTCTGCCTCATCCCCTTTTCCATAAAAAAAAAAAAAAAAAAGATGGATATGTGGCTGTATTTTTTAATCAAAATTAAACTTACTTAGAGATTATTTTGTCACTTCTAAGATAACTGGAGACAAGCCTGGGGGTGGGGGTGGGAGGGCTGAAAAACCAGGGTTTGCAATCACAAGAGTAAGGCCCCTAGGTTTTAGAGTATAAAATTCAGTGCACAAGGCCATGAATTTGGCTTATCCACAAAATATATTCTTTTCTTTTCCTTCCTTATTCTATTAGTCTTTATTATTCTAAACCAATTCACATTTTATTTTTAAAAAATACTTAAAAAGTTTAAATCTTTCTGAAGAGTTTCCACCCTCCCTGTTTCAAGAATTGCCCAAACATAATAGCTACATGGCTTAAAAACACTCTTCAACAGTCTGGTTGACCTCTTCCACTTTAATTAGGATTCTAAGATTTTTTTTTTAAGAGTTTCTGACTAAAAATTTACTCTTCAGAGAAGGTACTAACTAGATAGTGAGTTCCAATGTACAAAAAGAAGAGAAGAAAGAAAGGAAAGGAAGGCAAGGAAAGGAAGGAAAGCAAGCAAGCTGTGGAAAATATGGAGAAGGGAAAGAGAAATTACTTGAAGAAAGCTTTAAGTTGAAGCAAGAAGTGACCCCCCCTCCCCCACCACCTTCTCGTGGTGTTTTTGTTTCTCTTATAATTTAGAAGTTAATTTGTCTACATAGGAAATTTAAGTCCCTATTGCTAATAAAAGAACGTTTTCAGTTTTCTGAGACAAACATAAGGACGTGTCAAACTTCAGCAATTAAGGAGAGGATTGATATGTGGATTTGACACCTGGCATTGTGATCTCCTTTTCTAACTGGAACTGAGATTATATCCTTACTAAAATCCAAGACAAGGAAAATGACTCCAACAAAGACAGAGGCTAAAAAATACTTCTGGACATTATCTTACCTCTCAGAATCAAGTTTCCTTGCTTAACAAGAGAAAAAGGACCAGGGTTCCCTACTTTACAGTAATGTTGCAAAATTCCTGCTTTTTTAAAAAACTCTAATTTGTATCTCAAAGACAGAGCCTGAGACTCTGCTAAAGCAGTACCTAGACTGACTAGTACAAATCAATAAATAGTCGCATTGAGCGGAAAACAATGGAGTGTTCTCATTTAAGAAAGGGATGATTTAGTTTGTTTCTGTGTTTTGATGACAGTTGGACCATTTAACCTCCACTGTTAAGGTTAAATGATTTTTTATTATTCCTTCCTAAGTCTGGATTATCAATGTTCAAGTGTCTCTGATGTTCTGCATGTTATCACTTTGAGGACCCTACAGTCAAATTAGAGGGAGACAAAATTCCATGTATATAATTTGTCTAATCCATCTCTATCTTCTTTCCTTTCCCAATACAACATAATCCTTTTTCGTACCTTGTTTCCAACCACTTATAAGGTCTATCACACAGACATTTTGTACTAGAATGCTCTACCCCAGGAAAACCAATAATACTGAGATGTTCAAAAGAAGCTAAATATAGAACCTTTTAAAATGCTATCTAGGAAAACATAAAGCTGGGTAACATTTGAGCACCATTCATCCATGCATTCAACAGATCTTAAAACAAACAAGCAATACATATCATATTAGATGGTGATAAGATCTAATATAGTATGAACATCTAAAATCACTTCTTAATGCAAGAAAACAAAGCAGATTTTCAGTTTCTTAGAAAATATGCCTAGAAGACTTTTTCCCCCATTCAAGATCCTGAGTTGGGGTTTTCCAATGAAGCAACTTTCTCACTGCTTAATGGACAGATTTGTAATAAAGAATGAAATCCTCACTACTTCAGCAGATAATCTGTTACATGAATGTTCACAGCAGCATTATTCACAATAGACAGAAAAAATGGAAAGAACCCAATGCACACCACTGGTTTAAATGAAGAAACAAAATATGGTACACAAAAGAAAGTGGGGGTAGTAGCTATACTTCCATCGGACAAAATGGATGACACCAAAAATAGTACGAAGAGACAAAAAGGTCATTATATAATAAAGGGGTCAATCCATCAAGAAAGTATATCATAAATATATATGCACCCAACATCAGAGCAGCTACATATATTAAGCACATAATAACCAATCTGAAGAGAGAAACAGACAACAATAATAATAGGAACTTCAACATTCCACTTTCACTAATGGACAGATCATCTAGGCAGAAAATTAGCAAGGAAGCCTTGGACTTGAATCATACATTAGACCAAACAGATCTAACAGACATTTACAGAACATTCTAGCCAACAGCAGCAGAATACACATTCTTCTCAAGTGCACAGTGAACATTCTCCAGGATAGATCATAGGATAGGCCACAAAATAAGTCTTAACAAATTTAAGAAGACTGAAATCACATCTTTCCTGACCACAATGAGACAAAACTAAAAATCAATAAGAAAAAGCTGGACATTTTACGGTCACATGGGAACTAAACAACACACTCCTGGAGAGTCAGTGTGCCAAGGAAGAAATCAAAGGGGAAATTTTAAAAAATCTCAAAACAATGAAAATAGAAATGCAACACAGCCAAACCTATGGGATACTGCAACAGCAGTTCTTAGGGAGACATTTATAGTGATGAGTGCATATATTAATAGAAAGATCTCAAGTAAACAATCTAACCTCAAGAACTAGAAAGAAAACAAACTAAGCCGGGACGCCTGGGTGGCTCAGTTGGTTAAGCGACTGCCTTCGGCTCAGGTCATGATCCTGGAGTCCCTGGATCGAGTCCCGCATCGGGCTCCCTGCTGGGCAGGGAGTCTGCTTCTCCCTCTGACCCTCCCCCCTCTCATGTGTGCGCTTTCTCTCTCTCTCATTCTCTCTCTCTCAATAAATAAATAAAATCTTTAAAAAAGAAAACAAAACAAACTAAGCCCAAAGTTAGCAGAAGGAAGGAAATAACAAAGTTCAGAGCAGAAATAAATTAGAGACCAGAAAACAACAGAAAAGATCAATGAAAATAAGTGCTTTTTTTAAATAGATAAATGAAATTTACAAAAGTTGGGCTAGACAAACACAAAAGACAAAATCAGAAATTAAAGATGAGACATTATTACTGATACTACAGAAATATATAGGATAAGAGATTACTATGAACAATTACATGTCAATAAATTGGATAAACTAGAAGAAATGGATAAATTCCTAGAAACCTACAACCTACCAAGACTGAATCACGAATAGAAAATCTTAATCAGTAATCACTTAGAAAATTAAATCAGTATTCTAAAATCCCTTCACCGGTGAATTGTAACACACATTAAAAAATAATTAACATCAATCCTTCTCCAACTCTTCCCAAAAATCTAAGAGAAGGGAACTCTCCCAAATTTATTTTATAAGGCCAGCATTACCCTGCTATCAAAGCCAGATAAAGATATACAAGAAAACTATAGACCACTATCCCTTATGAATACAGATGTAAAAATTCTCAACAAAATATTAGAAAACCAAATACAGCAACACATTAAAATTATCATACATCATGAAAAAAATGAAATTTATCCCTGGGCTGAAAGGATGGTTCAATACACACGAATCAATAAATGTGATACACCACATTAACAGGATGAAAGATAAACCATATTATCTCATTAAATGAAGAAAGAGCATTTTACAAAATAAAATATCCTTTCATGATAAAAATGTTCAACAAACTGGGTATAGAAGAACATATTCAACATCTAACATCAGCTAACATCATCTAACAACAGCTAACATCATACTTGACGACAAAGATTAAAAGCTTTTCCTCTAAAAACAGGGACAAGACAAGGATGCCCACTCTCAGAAATCCTAGCCAGAGCAAGTAGGCAAGAGAAAGAAACAGAAGGTATGGAAATTGGAAAAGAAGTGTCATTATTTGTAGATGATATGATCTTACATAGAGAAAATCCTAAAGACTCAACCAAAAAAACCAAAAAGCTAATCAACAAATTCAGTAAAGTTGCAGGATATTAAATCTACAGAAATCAGTTGCATTTCTACACGGTTAACAATGACATATCTAAAAAGGAAATAAAATTATCCCATTCACAATAGCATAAAAAATAATCAAACAGTTAGGAATAAATTTAACCAAAGAAGCAAAAGATTCGAACAATAAAAACTGCAAGATGCCGATGGAAGAAACTGAAGTCACAAAAATTGGAAAGATATTCCATGTTCATGGTTTGGAAGAACTAATATTGTTAAAATGTCCAAAGTACCCCAAGCCATCTACAGATTTAAAGCAATCTCTTTCAAAATTCCACGGTCATTTTTCTGAGAACTAGAATAAACAATCCTAAAATTTGAATGGAACCACAAAAGGCCGTGAATAGTTGAAGCAATCCTAAGAAAGAACAAAGGCAGAGAGGTATCACATTTCCTGATTTCAGACTATACTACAAAACTATAGTAATTAAAACACTATGGTATGGGCATAAAACAGACACACTGACCAATAGAACAGAATTGACAGCGCAGAAATAAACCCCCAAATTCATGGTCAACTAATGTTTGACAATGGAGCCAAGAAAACTCAATAGGGAAAGGATAGTCTCTTCAACAAATGATACTGGGAAACTGACTAAAACCATATGCAAGGAAATGAAATTGGACCTCGATTGTACACCACTCAGAAAAATTTACTCAAAATGGAGTAAGCCTTTAAAGGGTAAAATTTAAGACCAGACATGGTAAAACTACAATAAAATACAGAGAAAAAGCTCACGTCTCAGCAACAATTTTTTTAGATAGGACATCAAAAGCAAAAACAAAAGCAAAAAACAAGCAGGTCTACATCAAACTAAAAAGCTTCTGCACAGCAAAAGAAATGATCAACAAAATGAAAAGGCAACACACAGAATGGAAGAAAATATCTGCAAACCATGTACTGCTTAAGGGGTTAATCTCCAAAATATATAAAGAATTCATACAACTGAATAACAATAACAACAGCAACAAAGCAATCTGACTTAACAGTGGGCTGAGGAATTGAATAGACATTTTCCCCAAAGAAGACATCCAGATGGCCAACAGGTATATGAAAAAGTGCTTAACATCACTAATCAAAAGGGAAATGCAAATCAAACCTGCAGTGAGGTGTTACCTCACACCTGTTAGGCTATCATTAAGAAGACAAGCAATAACAAGTGCTGGGGAGGGTGTGGAGAAAAGGGAGCCCTTGTACACTGTTCATGGGAATGTAAGGTGGCTCAGCCACTATGGAAAACAGTAAGGAGTTCCCATCCAGCAATCTGAAAATAATTGAAAAAAGATTATCAAAAAGATTTCTGCACTCCCATGTTCACTGCAGCATTATTCACAATAGCCAAGACATTCAAACAACCCAAGTGTCCATCAACGGATGAATGGATCAAGAAAATGTGTGTGTGTGGTGTGTGTATACACACACACACACGTGTATACATATGTACATATGTATATATATAAATATATTTATATATACAATTAAATATTATTCAGCCCTAAGAAAGAAGGAAATCCTTTCATTTGTGACAACATGGATGGACTTCGAGGGCATTATGCTTAGTGAGATAAGCCAAAGACAAATATTGTATGATATCATGTCTAAAAAAGCCAAGCTCCTAAAAATAATAAAATAGTAGTTACCAGGGTCTGGGGTGCAGGAGGTGGGGAGTGGGAGATATTGTTACAGACTACAAACTTCAACTGAAAGGTAAGTTCTGGGGATCTAACACACAGCATAGTGATTATAGTCAACAATACTGTGTTATATGCTTCCAAACTGCTAAGAGGGGGCGCCTGGGTGGCTCAGTCTTTAAGCATCTGTTTTCGGCTTGGGTCAAGATCCCAGGGTCCTGAGATCGAATCCCGGGCTTCCTGCTCAGTGGGGAGCCTGCTTCTCCCTCTGCCTGCCGCTCTCGCTTGTGCTCTGTCTCTCTGACAAATAAATAAAAACTCTAAAAACAAAACAAACACCAAAAAAAACAAACAAACTGCTAAGAGACTACATCTTAAATGTTCTCACAGAAAAAAGAAATGATCATTATGTGATAGGATAGAGGTATTAAAGCTACGGTGGTAATCATATTACACTATATAAATGTATCAGAGGAACAGATTA